TTAAAAGTCTTGAAAGTTCAATTTCCTTATTTTCTGGGAATTTTAGGAATATTCTATCTAAACACTTAATTCTATAAACCAATGAGAATAGATTTCTTTAAATATAAGAAAAATATTAGGAAAATATTACAGACTGATGAGGCCTTTCTGAATTACAGACGTTATTATTATTATATTCAGGCTACTGCCATAGGAGAAATGTTCATTAATAAAGAACATTTCAAAGAAAAGGAAGGGGGACCTGTAGTTTTATAAAGGCAGGTAAACAAGATAAGCATCTGTGAGTCTTATGAGAGTCATGAGGAAGCATGAAAATGGTTCTTTCTGGAATATGCCAGGGCAGTGTGGTCTTTTGCAGTTAACTGTTTCTCAGAATACAAAGGATGAGAGGTTTCCTACTCACATTGATTTCCAAAAGCACAGGGCTCAGATAAATTTCAGTACTGTCTCTGCTTTGTCAATTTTGTCTATAGAATTTCTCTGTGTTCTCTTTTATATGCCATACTATTTCTGCTTGCTTTTTTTGTTTGTTCTGTTTTGTTTTGGCTTTTGTATTTCTGTGCCATGACCTGTCTCCTTAACTTAATTGTAGGCTCTCTGAGGGAAAAAAGTGTGTCTTGCATTGATTTGTATTTTCCCTCCTTCCCTCTTTTTGCCTAAAACACTTAATGTTCCTTCCCAACTACCTAAAAGTTATTGATTTCAGTAGAAAGACACATTGTCTCTTCATGTGCTAAAATGGTAGGTAGACTCATAAATTGTAAGCTTTTCATAATTGGAAAATAGCATCCAAGAACTTTCAAAGTTACATATTCAATTCTTATTTATACAGAATTCAAGGTTGGACCAACCTTTTCCTCTAATTGGTTTCAGTCTGGCTGCATATATAATGCCAGTCTATTCTTTCTCTAGATGATCACCAAGTTCACCTTCATGAGTAAAGCCAATGTCTAGTGATATTCCTGCTGTCTAGTGTACCTGTCTCATTGACGTAGTCTGTGAACCAGGGCATTGTGTAGCATATGAAATATTATAGAAGAGATTTCATGAAGAAATTTATGCATTGTGTAAGCAATACAAAGACTTTACACTCTTGGGCTTCCCTGGTGGCTCAGTTGGTAAAGAATCTGCCTGCAATGCAGGAGACCTGGGTTTGATTCCTAGGTTGGGAAGATCCCCTGGAGAAGGGAATGGGCTACCCACTCCAGTATTCTTGCCTGGAGATTTCCATGAACTGTATAGTCCATGGAGTCTCAAAGAGTTGGACACGACTGAGCAACTTTCACTTTTCACGATCTCATAGTAACCATTTTAACTGATGCTCCTGCCATTTTAACTGATGCTCATGCCTAGAATTCTATTTCAAGTAAAATATTAGGGAGAATGTAGGAAAAAATGGACTGAATAGTCAGTCTATGGAAGCAAAAGAAACTGAAGCATTTAGAATGAGGCCTTAAAGAACAAATTATAACACATGATTGATGATGATGTTCTTTTACATCTACTCAACAAGGCTTAATGGAAGAGTAATAAAAGAGTAGGTTAATATCCTGACAAGAGGTTAAAGTGACACAGTATCACTGATAGCAAAAATATTAAAGGACATCAGTGAAGTCAGTAAAGACAACTTAAGTGAAGGAGACAGAAAAACTTTTATTTATTTATTTTTCCATTTATTTTTATTAGTTGGAGGCTAATTACTTTACATCATTGCAGTGGTTTTTGTCATACATTGAAATGAATTAGCCATGGATTTACATGTATTCCCCATCCCGGTCCCCCCTCCCACCTCCCTCTCCACCCCATCCCTCTGGGTCTTCCCAGTGCACCAGGTCCGAGCACTTGTCTCATGCATCCAACCTGGGCTGGTGATCTGTTTCACCCTAGATATACATGTTTTGATGCTGTTCTCTTGAAACATCCCACCCTCGCCTTCTCCCACAGAGTCCACAAGTCTGTTCTATACATCTGAGTCTCTTTTTCTGTTTTGCATATAGGGTTATCGTTACCATCTTTCTAAATTCCATATATATGTGTTAGTATACTGTAATAGTCTTTATCTTTCTGGCTTACTTCGCTCTGTATAATGGGCTCCAGTTTCATCCATCTCATTAGAACTGATTCAAATGAATTCTTTTTAATGGCTGAGTAATATTCCATGGTGTATATGTACCATAGCTTCCTCATCCATTCGTCTGCTGATGGGCATCTAGGTTGCCTCCATGTCCTGGCTATTATAAACAGTGCTGCGATGAACATTGGGGTGCACATGTCTCTTTCAGATCTGGTTTCCTCAGTGTGTATGCCTAGAAGTGGTATTGCTGGGTCATATGGCAGTTCTATTTCCAGCTTTTTAAGGAATCTCCACACTGTTTTCCATAGTGGCTGTACTAATTTGCATTCCCACCAACAGTGTAAGAGGGTTCCCTTTTCTCCACACCCTCTCCAGCATTTATTGCTTGTAGACTTTTGGATAGCAGCCATCCTGACTGGCGTGTAATGGTACCTCATTGTGGTTTTGATTTGCATTTCTCTGATAATGAGTGATGTTAAGCATCTTTTCATGTGTTTTTTTGCCATCCATATGTCTTCCTTGGAGAAATGTCTGTTTAGTTCTTTGGCCCATTTTTTGATTGGGTCATTTATTTTTCTGGAGTTGAGCTGGAGGAGTTGCTTGTATATTTTTGAGATTAATCCTTTGTCTGTTGCTTCGTTTGCTATTATTTTCTCCCAATCTGAGGGCTGTCTTTTCACCTTGCCTATAGTTTCCTTTGTTGTGCAAAAGCTTTTAAGTTTCATTAGGTCCCATTTGTTTATTTTTGTTTTTGTTTCTAAAATTCTGGGATGTGGGTCATAGAGGACCCTGCTGTGATTTATGTCGGAGAGTGTTTTGCCTATGTTCTCCTCTAGTTTTATAGTTTCTGGTCTTACATTTAGATCTTTAATCCATTTTGAGTTTATTTTTGTGTATGGTGTTAGGTGTTAGGAAGTGTTCTAGTTTCAGTCTTTTACAGGTGGTTGACCAGTTTTCCCAGCACCACTTGTTAAAGAGGTTGTCTCTTTTCCATTGTATATCCTTGCCTCCTTTGTCGAAGATAAGGTGACCATAGGTTCGTGGATTTATCTCTGGGCTTTCTATTCTGTTCCATTGATCTATATTTCTGTCTTTGTGCCAGTACCATACTGTCTTGATGACTGTGGCTTTGTAGTATAGTCTGAAGTCAGGCAGGTTGATTCCTCCAGTTCCATTCTTCTTTCTCAGGATTACTTTGGCTATTCGAGGTTTTTTGTATTTCCATACAAATTGTGAAATTATTTGTTCTAGTTCTGTGAAAAATACCGTTGGTAGTTTAATAGGGATTGCATTGAATCTGTAGATTGCTTTGGGTAGTATAGCCATTTTGACAATATTGATTCTTCCAATCCATGAACACAGTATATTTCTCCATCTGTTTGTGTCCTCTTTGATTTCTTTCATCAGTGTTTTATAGTTTTCTATGTATAGGTCTTTTGTTTCTTTAGGTAGATATACTCCTAAGTATTTTATTCTTTTTGTTGCAATGGTGAATGGTATCGTTTCCTTAATTTCTCTTTCTGTTTTCTCATTGTTAGTGTATAGGAATGCAAGAGATTTCTGTGTGTTAATTTTATATCCTGCAACTTTACTGTATTCGTTGATTAGCTCTAGTAATTTTCTGGTAGAGTCTTTAGGGTTTTCTATGTAGAGGATCATGTCATCTGCAAACAGAGAGAGTTTTACTTCTTCTTTTCCTATCTGGATTCCTTTTACTTCTTTTTCTGCCCTGATTGCTGTGGCCAACACTTCCAAAACTATGTTGAATAGTAGTGGTGAGAGTGGGCACCCTTGTCTTGTTCCTGATTTCAGGGGAAATGCTTTCAATTTTTCACCATTGAGGGTGATGCTTGCTGTGGGTTTGTCATATATAGCTTTTATTATGTTGAGGTATGTTCCTTCTATTCCTGCTTTCTGGAGAGTTTTAATCATAAATGGATGTTGAATTTTGTCAAAGGCTTTTTCTGCATCTATGGAGATAATCATATGGTTTTTATCTTTCAATTTGTTAATGTGGTGTATTACATTGATTGATTTGCGGATATTAAAGAATCCTTGCATTCCTGGGATAAAGCCCACTTGGTCATGGTGTATGATTTTTTTAATATGTTGTTGGATTCTGTTTGCTAGAATTTTGTTAAGGATTTTTGCATCTATGTTCATCAGTGATATTGGCCTGTAGTTTTCTTTTTTTGTGGCATCTTTGTCTGGTTTTGGAATTAGGGTGATGGTGGCCTCATAGAATGAGTTTGGAAGTTTACCTTCTGAGACAGAAAAACTTTTAAAGAGGCTGCTTCAATCATCATTGTAATAATTACATTTATTGTAATAATTACATTTATGGAAAGGCAACCACACTGTATTGTTCAGGAGGTTATGCATTTGTACATTCTATACTCAGCTTTTATGAGCAACAAGTCCAAGATGTACTAAAAAAATTCTAGATTATGTCACAGAGTCAGGACAGAGAAATCAAATCTCCAACACCTTCTACAAATGGCTGAGCAGTATAGTCTTTAATGCCCCTTCTAGATTCTAGATTTCTTAAGCTCCTTTAAGTAGTAATCTATGTTCATCATGATGACTTCAGGGTACTCCAGTTTTTTAACATGACTCCTGAATCATTAAAAAAATATTCTGTTTTATTCAATATAGTTATATTTTTTTTCCCATTTTTTAGGTTGATTGGTAATATTTTTCATTATATTTCAATATTACCAATCAACCTAAGTATTTAGTTTACGAAAACACTTCATTCCCTAGTCATTCTGGGCCATTTACTATATAATCTTTGTAGGTATGTTTTTGTTTTTCTTAAAAGAAAGGGGAATTATAAGGGAATGGATCTCAAGGGTTAGATCCTTGGCTATAAAGACTCCCTTGGATTGCTTGTGGCTATTGGCTAAAGCAACTTGTTTTCTTGCAGAGATGAAGCATCTGGTTTTTGTTATCTCAATGATGCTGTCCTGGGAATATTACGATTGCGACGGAAATTTGACCGTATTCTCTATGTGGATTTGGATCTGCACCATGGAGATGGTAAGCCCTTCACTTCAGAGGAGCTTTGCTGCTAGGACTGGCAGGCTTTTATCAGTAAAGCTGTTTCTAGGCAGCTGGTAACAGGAGAAATGCCTCTTGCAATTGAAATTTTCCTAATTGAGAATCCTAAAGTAGGTAGAGATTCTTTTAACTGATGCAATTCCTCCTTTGCTGACCAAGCTGCTTCAAAATACCAGGTTTCTATAATTTCTCCTCCCCTCTCCTCCAGTAGTGAAGCTCTCCAGTAGAGAATTTTAGGAAGTGGAAATGAGGGTAAGATTTCTTAGTGTTTACTCCAGTGCTTAGTAACCTCCCTCAGGCCACTTCCATAGGTTCTAAATGAAACCTGCAGTCAGAACTGAGAGTCCTGATGCTGCTCTTAAAACGGAAGGGATGCATGATGGACTAACACTCTGAATTTTTCACCAACAGGGATATCAACTCATGTAGTAATCAAGATCTGTGCCACTTGCTTTGTATTGTTAAAATTTTTAGTCTTGCACAAACCCAGGGCATCTTCTCTAACTTTTAGTAGTAGCAGACTGTAACAATTTGCCTTAACCCCATTAATCCTCTCTTAGAAGACTTCACTAAAAGGTTGTATGCAGCCCTCCTGTGTACCTTTCATTTAGAATGTAGAGCTTAAGTGACAGCTACCCTCATTCTATTTCTCATATAAATATAGCCTGTGTGCGACATATATTTTCATCAATCTAGGAACACTTATCCAGTAAAACTAGTTAAGAATATACCCTTCCTGCCCCCACATTAGTGATTGCTGCTTCCCTGTCTCTTTTGAGACAAACTAACATAATCAAAGCTTAAGAGTAGTATATCATGGAAGCTGGGGTCAGCTCTACTGCCAAAAAAGAAAAAGAAGGAAGAAATTGTGGGAGAGACCTCCCCAAGTAATTCAATTAGATGGAAGCTTCCATGGAATGGTAACAGAAAATTAAAGGTAACAGAGAGAAGAGAGAAGAGTTAAACCAACACACTACTTTGAGAACCATGTCCAATGAATATCTGAATATTCAGCCAATGCAAAACACAGCTTAGCTCAAAACCCTTCAGAGACTCTGATTGCTTATAACAAGGGTAACATTTGGCCTGTGGCTTGTTTTTGTATGACCAGCAAGCTAAGAATGGTTTTTTACATTTTACAAGGTTGTAAAGAAAAAAATGCAATAAAGACCATGTAGTTTGCAGTCTAAAATACTTACTATGTAGCCACTTGGTTTGCTAACCATTGGCCTACAGCAATGGTTCTCAAACTTGAATGCAGATTAGGCTGACCTATGGGTGGGGGGCTTATTGTAAAATGCAGATCCCTAGGCCACATTCACCAGATATTGGATTTAGTAGGTCTGGTATGGAACCTGGGAGTCTCCATATTAATAACACCCCAGTTGTTCCACAGGCTACACTTTGAAAACCAGTAGTCTTCAAGGTAAAGTCCACATTATTTGCCCTGTCTTTTAAGGCCTGCCTCAAAGTGGCTACGCTTCCTCTCTCCCAGCCTTCTCTCTCACTACTTGCTGTCTGCGCTACTGTACTCAGTGATGCCCAGACACATCTCACTGTTCCCACCTTCCTGACTTTGTGGTACTTTTTCCTAACCTAGTTTTGCATTCTCTTACCCTTTTATATCTTCAAGTTCTGCCCAAGAGCTCAGGTTGGTAGTAAATCTGCTCCGACCACTCCTGTCCAAGTAGTTTCTCCCCCTGCTCACGTCCTGTATTGTTTCTATCACTGATTTGATATTTAATTATATATTGTATTATTAATGAATTCTTTAATGTGTCTGTGTCTTCTCATCCCATAGAAACTTTCAGTTCCTTCAGAGCACAGATCAAGTTATTTACTTCTTTCTGTCCTACACAGTGGCAGGAACAGACAGACCTATGCCTACAGTAGTGGTTCAGTAAAATATTTGTTGAATGAATGAGTGATTATGAAATTCAAACTCTTTGTATCAGAGTTCAAGAATAGAATCAAGTCTATTGAACCATGTAAGAATGAAATAAGACTGTCACCTGAAACCATTCTTTCCATTTGCAATGTTATTTCTGCACCATTTAGAGTTTCCTGTTTTAGCCAGCTTTTATGGTGTGTTTCATTTCAGTTTATTTCCCCTCTTCAGCACCTCCCTTCCAGTGACCCCTGCCCCACCTCCAAACACTTACACATTTGGTTTATTTTAAATCTCCCATGATTCCATAACTAGCACCTTGCAGTGGCTTCACCAGCACCCCTACCCCATCCTCACTTTCTTTCAGCTACCTAGCCACTCTTCCCTTTCACACCAAGCCCCTTGCCCTCCTCTCTATGTCCTTTCTTAAAGTATGATTTTCTAACAACACCTAATGGTATTTCCCATGAGAAGTGATACAGATGGCTATTAAACATATGAAAAGGTGCTTAACACCCTAAGACTCAGAGAAATGCAAATTAGAACAAGAACATTCTTTCTGCCTAAGATTAAAAAGAATAATACCTAGTGTCAGTCATGACATTGAAAAAGGGTAACTCTCATACACCACTGAGAGAAGTTTAAATTGTTACCACCTTTCTTAATGGATAAATAATCAGGACTTTCATGAGTTGTCCTTGTTTATACTTCCATTTCTAAGTTAAAATACTAGTTTAATTCATTTTCTTTTGTTTACTTAATGCTTTGTGCCTGGAGCCTTTAACTGCTGTTAACTGCCTCCCTAGGGCAAAGCATAAGGCTTGGGAAATTCAAACATACCTGTGATATACAAATAGAGTTAATATTTTTTAAGGTCTCTGTTGGCCTCTAAAGAAGACTGAAGCATTAAGTAAACAGAGACAATTTCTTTATTTGAAGTATAAAAGAGGGTAATACATGAATTTGCTAATAGTCCTCCCATTTTACAACCAGATTATCTGAATACAGTATGACAATTATGTGATTCTGGGAGGAAAAGTGTAGAGGTAAGTAGGGTGTGTATCTGAATAAGTAGTGGCTTATAAGAGACATCATCTATCTCCCAGGCCTCTCTTCATTTTCTGATTCTGTTAAAATGAAAAGGAGACTTCTTTCTTTAAGTTTTTCCTCCTATCTTTCTCCAGGCTTCAAAAAGCTGTCATCAAGCTGCTGTTAAAGGGCTTTCAGCCTCCCATGTTTTAGCCAGAAACATGTACTTAGTACACATGGAACTTTGGGTGGATTGCATTTATAACCAAATCTGTATTATAGAAAGGCATTTTAAAATTAGATTTATACTGTGAAGTGCCTAATGTTGGTATAGATGATGTTTTTCAAAGGGTTGCCATATTGTACTTCTTTGAAAAAAAAAATCCCAAGAATATAACTTAGAACCAATGAAACAAAACAAAATATAAAACTTCCAAGATGGTGCCAGTTTCCTTTATGCAGTTCTGTTGATAATACATCAATTCTGAGCTCTAGTCCTTCCCCACCTTTTAGAACACATTGTGAAAGATAGCCTGGGTATCCCCTTTGCTTGGAAATGTCCAGCTTTAATTTGAATGAATTTGAAAAGGAACCCTAACTTCACTTGGGGCCAAAGTTCTAGCTCACCCTATAATGACAGAGATTCAAGATCTGAGTTTTGTTACTTTTATTCCATAGCTTGCTAGCTTTATTATTGCTACCTTCTCTCTCTTCTTCCTACAGCTGCTTTCTAGAGTTTCAGTTGTTGAAAACAGGAGTTGCACTAATGGAGTGTTTCTTCTGCCATTTCTTTCTCTGGTAGGTGTAGAAGATGCCTTCAGTTTCACCTCCAAAGTCATGACGGTGTCCCTGCACAAATTCTCCCCAGGATTTTTCCCAGGCAAGTGATCTGTGTGCTCAGTGTTACATTTGAGGAATAAATACTGCAGTTCTTCTATATATTTCTTATATCTTGTATTTGGATAGCTACATGCTGTGACTACCTTGTTGGTGCTACCCCATGCAAAAATTTAACAGAGGTCATTTCAGGTGACAATGATAAAAGGAATGTAACGCTGCTGCTTTTTCCAGATGTTTTTCATTGATTGTTGATAGCTCACTTACACTTACCGGACTATCAGATAGCCTATATAACCCCCAACATCCTGATAAGTGTAATGATATATTAATATTATGTCAATCTAAGGTGTATGAGAAGTCAAGCAGAGAAGTTTATCTTTTTTCATTCATTTGGTCCAACAAGATGGAGACTAAACTAATTCTATTTTCTTATGATTTTACTACTTCCCCGACGTTATTTACAAGTTTTTTCTTATTCACTAATTTCATTCCCTTAGAAACCATCGTTCATTCAAGATTGTTCTCTTAATTGACCTTTTGATTTTCTGAATTCCTACTCAGAGAAGCCTTCATATTTTCTAATTCTTGTGTTCTTAAAACTGTTCTTGGTGCTCCTCTCTTTGACAGGAACAGGTGACGTGTCTGATGTTGGCCTAGGGAAGGGACGGTACTACAGTGTAAATGTGCCCATTCAGGATGGCATACAGGATGAGAAGTATTACCACATCTGTGAAAGGTATGACAGCAGTGCTGAGCCAGTAACAAGCGCATTACATTTCTATTAGATGAAATGGCCTCTAATCTCACAGAATTCTTGTTTTCAAAGAACCATTAAAAAAAAAATTAAAAGCTACTATATACCCACATACCATTTGTACACTGCTCACTATGCTTATTTGATCAGGTAGCCAGCCCCTGTCTGGGAGAGTGGTGTGTTTGGACCAGAGCCACACTATCAGTTTGATCTTACCTGCCACCCCATATGATTAAGGCCTTCCCAAGAGCAGAGCTTCTCAGCTGTACTGGGGAATCCCTTGTCTGCTAGTTTCTTAGGTAAAATCTGCATGTAGTATTTCATTACCCTGGGAGGGTCAGTTTTGTTTTTCCATTATGGAGATCTGCTTCCATCCACTGGTGTGAATATTAGAGTTCTATCGGTCATGTTAAAATTGGAGTCAGAAATTCTGTTTTTTGGTTGTTTTTTTTTTTTTTTTTTTTTGCAGTATGGTTAAAGATAAAATTACAGCCACTTGTAGGCAGACAGTTTAGTGCCAGTGTGTAGACCAGACCATTGGGGCTAAAAAGCCCTACAGAATGAGGAAAAGGGTGGCTAAACTCATATTCATAAAAAACTGGGGTTGCTCAGGTACAAACTCATTGCTGACATTGGCAGTAGAGAAAGTGAGTCTGACTAGAAGTCAGCAAGTCAACATAAAGTAAGTAATGGGGATTGAGGTGTTTTTGATCCCTCTCCCACTTGGCTCAGATTTCTCCCAACATTCTGATGGAAAGAAGGGCTTCCCAAAGGAGCCTGCACTGGCTGTCACAACTGGCAGTTGTATAAACAAAGTAGAAGTATTAAAAAATAAAAACTTTATGGTCCAAAGGTGCCTCTTAGCTCAAGAGATTTGGCATGTCAGGTCATGAGCCTTAGCAGTAGCCTCTTCATATTTTGATCATGTGCCCTGGCTACTACCTCTGCATTGTCAAACTGAAAAGGCTCTTTTTCTTTCTTCAGTCTGCCATTGATGGTTTAATTGCCCTTCTTTGTTCCCCTTAGGCTCTGTTCTGTCCTTGAGATGTGCAGATCAGAGTTGCTGACGTAACTTTACCAATGATGTCCTGTGGTTCTGTGTAAAAGGAGAATTATTTTGTTTTTCTTTGAATTCTCTTATTGACAGTATCCAACATTTTGTTGCCCCCTTTTTTTTTGCCATAGCAGGAAACTAGATTGTTCTCTTCAGTACTCTGTCCACAGGGTTTCCTAGTGCTTTTTCCTGGGCCTTAATTGAAAGGTCAGCACCCATCATCCTGCAAGTGTAGCTTGTAATCTCTGGCCCTCCCTAAATGGATTACCTTACATGTGCCCCTATTGAAGCTCATCTGTCAGTCATGAAACCTCCTGAAGTCTTCCTTTCTTCCCCATCAACTTGTCATTTCACTGCCTGGAAAAGCTGAGTATCATCTGCAGACTTGAGGATTTCCCAGCGCCCACCCCCAAACAAGTCTACTACTTACCTTTCTTCAGTCAAAAAAAATGTCTGTTTCTCCCCTATTTCTCTCTAAACCAGTTCTTCCTACATGATTTTTAAAAATTGTTATCCCACAGTAATTCATGTTTAAAAATAGCCTTGGTATCAAACTTAATTAAATGTTTTAAAAGTGAATTTAGCCTGGAGGAAAAGATCCATGGAGGATCACACATGATTACCATATTGCCACCTCTACCCCAGTGTATACAGGAAGCCAGCATTTATTAAAGATTCTTCTAGCTTGTGTACCAGAGTACAAGACACTCATTAGTTTATAGCTCCCAGGGCCCCTTTTGCCATTGCAGCTCCACCAGCAAACTATACAGAGATCACCCAGAATCAAAACCCAGGCTCCAGGTTTTGATTAAAGAGACAGTCATTTTTCCCTTTGATTTCTTTCAGAAGTCAAGTGTGGTCAGGGCATTATGTGAAGGCACCTCTGATCCCAAGGGTGCCAAGAACGCTTCCTGACCCAAACATCTGTCCCAACTGTTGGACTAATAGCTGATTAAATTCCTTTAACAGGAAACATACTTTTGTTCTACAATGAGAAATAGGCCTTAAATGGAATTCTGGCCCAATCTCTCCTCCTCACCCACACTCTGCCATTTCATAATAGCAGATTTTGAAAGGGTTAGAGCATGAGCACCCTGAGCATTCAGAGGAGAAGTAGCGGGAAGGGGGCACAAACAATCTTTGCCAACTAGTTTTGCAGAGGGTCAGCTCTAGTAACGGTATCACTTAGTCTCAGTTATTATGCTTTTGATTACTTCTAGTTTGTTGCCTAGAATCAGAGTATCTTGTTTATTTACCACTATGACATCTGGTTCATCTGCCTACCTCAAAAGACAGAGTAGACAGGAATAGCTTACCCATGTAAAAAAGTCATTCAGTTCATCTTCATCCTTTTTGTTCCATGAGCCAACTGTTTTTCTGACTCCTTACCTGTGAGAAATAAAGGACCTCTTATTGCTGATTCACTTATAAGATGCTCTAATTTTAGTTTGCCACGGGTTTGCTTCTGAACTATCTATCTTTCCATATTGAATTTAGGAGCCCTTTTTCCTTCCTTTCCTTCCTTCTTTTCCTTATGGCTTTTTCCTCTGCTGTAGCCTTTTTTTTACTTTAACAGCTAGGCAGGAACTTAATGGTTTCATCTTAAGGTTAAATATACCCTCTTTATTTTTTAAAAAAATTATCTTAGGGTTTCTTTCTTAATAGACCAGATATGGAATCTTTACATGAAGATTTTCAACACCAGAAGTTCCATTTTATGAAAAAGACAATTTCACAGTGAGCGCTCCCTAGGTCATTCAGTGCTAATTTAGAAGGGCAAGGGTCACCATTCCCCAAAGCCTCCCATAATTTATATACAGACAAAGTTTGATGGGAGAGGAAAGCTGTTTTGCCAAAGAGACCATTTCCTAATTACCAAGCTCTGTCATCTGAAAACTACCTTTCTGCCTTTATTTAATGTTTGCTTTCTAATTGTATTTGAATGCAATGTGAGATAGTCTTAATAATGTTTAAACTATTACCCAAAAGGCTGTGTTGATGACTTTGGGAACATCTATAGTTAAGGAATTTTTAAAAAGGACAAATAACCAAGTACTTCCTTGCAGTTGATTCAAGAGAGGTACTGCTCTGAAACCTTAAATCTTGCAGGATGACCAAACTTTTTGCCCACTGTGAACTGTCATGACATATGCATAGTCTGAAGAAGAATTTTAGAGTTGTGTTCAAACTTCTTAGTTTTTACCCTACCTATCATTTTACAGCCCTAACATCCAGAAAGCATTCTTTACTAAACATCCACTTACTAGGATATATCTCATAGAAAGGTTATGTATATGGTGCCTTCCTATATATATATAATGTGTATGATACAAAGCGTAGTGAAATTGACACACTTTGGGGAAAAAATCACCTTTTATTAAGAATATTTGACTATTCAACTTTGTAAAATAATTAATTAGAGATACTGCATAAATATTTCGCCAAAAGGAAAACACATTGTTAAACAGACTTCTCAATGAATAGGACTTATGAAAGGCCCTATTAAGCAGGGCTTTTCAATCAATAGCAGTCTTTATATCCACATATGCAATACTTTGCTAGTAAGAACGATCAGCCTGATCAAAGAAATAATCTTATTCTAGTGAACTAGGGTTCACAGTAGTGATTATTAAAATAAAAATTTTCCTGTATTTGGTCTGTTTACCTTGAATCCTATGGCTTATCTGCTGTAACCCAAAATTAAAAGAAACCTTTTTTCCTCCATCAAAGAGCACTGACCTAAAGAAACATTCAGAGATTCCAGAAGTTTAAAAAAGCAGCAGCAACAACAACAAAATTTTTGCCCCTTCTTTTTTGAGAAAAATATTATACTTTTCTATTTGAAATAATTTTTTTTATTGCTCTTCAAACTGGTTTTTACAAACATTAATTCTACTATGCTTGGGATAACCAGGATAGCCTGCCTGGAAAGAACTTGATCTCTAGGACCACAGCAACCTCATTGAAGGAATAGCTCATTTAAACTCAAGCTTTTATTTCTGTGGGGAATTTCTTCATCCATCTAGACTGAGCTCCACTGCTATTCAATGAGGAAGAGAAAAAAAGCATATAATATAGTGACTCTGCAGTTTATATTTATTGTATGAGAATTTTCCTTAGACCCTGACATGGCCTCTGAAATATAAGTCAGGATTGTTTTAATCACAAGAATTCATTCCTATAGGTCTGGAGCCATAATTCACCTCTCTGAAGCCACTCTGACCTTCCTACAAAAGAACTGATTGCCTTAAGTCACCTTATAGAATTTTTAAGACATTAATTAACAAGAATGAAAAGGGAACTGCCAATGCAATAACTTAAGGGATTTGCTTATATTTTAGTATAATGATGAGTTTTCATTGTGGCTCAGACAGTAAAGAGTCTGACTGTAATGCAGGAGACCCAGGTTCGATCCCTAGGTCGGGAAGATCCCCTGGAGAAGGAAATGGCAACCCACTCCAATACTCTTGACTGGAAAATCCCATGGATGGAGGATTCTGGCAGGCTACAGTCCATGGGGTCGCAAAGAGTCAGACACGACTGAGCAATTTCATTTAGCATAATGGCACTATTTTATTCATTCACTCAACAAATATTTGTTGTCTCTGCTTCATTCCCACCCTCTACATAGGTACTATGGTGGTAAACATCCTGGAGCTCCCACATCCTGGAGCTTAGTTCCTAGGGAGGACTTGCCTGTGCCAGGAATTACACTGATCATTTATTTAATTTTTTTCCATTTGATACTTCTAACAATATACAGTACCTGCAAAGGTAGAGTATTCTTATTCCAGTCTTACTAATAAGAAAGTGTGAAAGTGTTAGTCACTCAGTCCTTTCTGACTCTTTGCAACCCCATGGACTGTCCATGAAATTCTCCAGGCAAGAATACTGGAGTGGGTTGCCATTCCTTTCTCCAAATAAGAGA